TTGATATTCAACCATTTCAGGAGGTAACAAATAACCAAGAAGTAATATTGGTATTTATGGTGGTTGTGTTTGTGTATCAACTTGGCTGGACCTGGTTGAGTGGCTGGGCAGCTGGTGGTAGTTATTCCCCATGATGAGACTGGCAATCAGCTCCACGATGAAATCTACTACAAGCAACTGAGTAGCTGCCTTTGGGATGTGGTCTGCTTCCTGTATATAAGCAGCAGCTTTGGGGATGGTCTCTAGTTTATGGCACACTTGGACCCTGCATGTAGCTGTGTCATTGTTCAGCAGCCTGCCATGCTCTTCCAACTTGGGGACTTATAATGGACTTGAATTAATGGCCTACTGTGTGGTTTGGTAACATCAGGACTGTCCCTTTTTACTTGTCAACCTCGGGCTTGGCAGCCTCAGCAGCCAGCAGCTGTCTGATTGAGTAAAAAAGCCTCTAGCTTCAGTGGGCTGGGACCTGGAGGCAGAGCTGAAGCCCAAGGCTTTTCACCTAGCCCCTAGAGCCTGGCACTTTGAACTTGGACTTAAAGCCTCCAGATTGTGAGAGAATAAACTCCTATTTGTTAAGGCCATCCCATTTGTGGTATATTCTTGTCAGAGCAGTACTGGGTAACTAGAACAGTATTGAAAGAAGACGTCTAAGCTGCACTGAAGAAGCTCTAGTGGCACAGTGCCTAAGGCATTTGACTGCTAACCAGAAGGTTGGTGGTTCAAATCCACCAGCCAGTCTATAGAAAGAAGACCAGGCAGTCTACTTGCATAAAGATTTACTGCCTCAGAAACCCAATGGGGGTCTCTATGAGTTGGAATTGACTCGATGGCAGTGGGTTTGGTTTTTGTTTTGTTTTGTTTTGTTTTTAAGCTGCACTTGAGGCATTGACCAAAAACAAGACTCCATAAATTGATGGAATTAATTGAGATGTTTCAGGAAATGGATGCAACGCTGGAAGTGCTCACTTGTCTATGCTAAGATATTTGGAGGACAGCTACCTGGCCAACCTACTGGTTGTTGTTGTTGTTGTTAGGTGCCGTCAAGTCATCTCCAACTCATAGCAACCCTACACATAGAAGAATGAAACACTGCCCGGTCCTGTGCCAGCCTCACAGTCCTTGCTAGACCTGAGCCCATCGTTGCAGCCACTGTGTTAATCCATCTGGTTGAGGGTCTTCCCCTTCTTCGTTGACCCTCCACTTTACCAAGCATGATCTCCTTCTCCAGGGAATGGTTCCTTCTGACAACAAGACCAAAGTAGGTGAGATGAAGTCTGGCCATTCTCGCTTCCAAGGAGCATTCTGGCTGCACTTCTTCCAGAACAGATTTGTTAATTCTTTTAGCAGACTATGGCACTCTTAGCATTCTTCTCCAACACAACTCAAAAGCATCAACTCTTCTTCAGTCTTCCTTATTCATTGTCCAGCTCTCACATGCATAAGAGGTGATTGAAAACACCATGGCTTGGGTTAGGC